CAATCAATCAATCAATCAAACAAACAAACAAACAAATACAGAAACAATAAGTGAATGGATAGAACTCCAGTGTGTCCTAAGATCGCACTCATGCTTCTTTTTCGAATCCAATTACCAAGCGTGCTTCTTACCCAGCCCATCTGGGTCCAGCCATCGTGCTTCATGATGTCAATCCTCGCTCAGAGTAAGGCGCGTCTTCTCTACTGGATGACCAGCCGCTTTTTTTTTTTTTTTTTTTTTTTTTTGGTCGTTGTTTAACGCAGAGGGAGTGGTGTGCATGACCATGCCTGGGGGGATTTTTTTTTGTTTTTTTCCAGATTTTCTTAGTATAATAGAAATTGCTCTGACAAAGGGGCCATCTTGTCACTCCCTTTGCTTAAAAATTTTGTGTCTCTTTTCTAGAAAAGGTCGACAGCCTTTAGATATTCATGGAACTGACCCGCCCCAGGGAATGAAGACTTATTTTATTATGTCCATCTGAGTGTATCTGGATTCGAACTTGGGTATGCATTTCAACAGTCCATGGGTGAGGTCGCACTAGCAAAGAGGATTGGATTAAGCTCCTGAATCTGGACGTGTTTTAAGCAGAGATGCACAGAAGCAGTTCAATCTCAATTTTTGCCACCTTTCCACAAACATGTCCAGATTCAGGTGTTTCATCCAATCCACGCTGCTGGTGGGACCTTGGCCCATGGGTCTGTCACTCGCTTTAACAGCTCTGCTACACTACCACAACCAATGAATTTTATTATTATTATTATTATTATTATTATTATTTATTAATTTTTTTAAACAACCAGTGCAGTGCTAGTGGTATTGGTAAGAGCAGGTACCACCAGTACTCGGGGTGAGGCTCCATCTATTGGTGCGGACACTGCGGAGCTTTCACCTGCTGGAAAACGGGTCCAGCGTCCCATGTACAGAGTGAATGAAGAAGATGCCAAGAAAAGGATGAGAAAATGCCTGCCAGCATTGATTACTCTGACATCCAGAGGATTGACTGTGCAGGTTGTTGGGAGATGGGGGAAACCTCATCACCCTGGGCCGGGCGCCAGATGTGCAGCGGGCCTCCATCTGCCCTGGCCTACAGCCACGGCCTATTTGGCTATTTGCCAGTTCGGCCTGTGGGACCAGGCCGTGGCCTGACCCCACACAGGCCGTGTGCTGCTCCAGTCCTGCCTCGTACCACTGTCGGTACCAGGCCAGTCCAGTCCAGTCAGTCAGTCCGCTGGGGGTATACCCCAGCTGTTGTCTATTTTTTGTCATTTATCATTTTTGCACTTGTTGGCGTACGTGCGGTGTTGAGTCTGCATCGGAGCTGCGCTGTCCCTTCCAGCTCCATCTCCACTTCCTCCTTCCTCTACCCCTTCGTCTCCATCCTGTCGGACCGCCATCCCGGCGGGTCCGGCACATTGGTATCAGAGCGGGAACGGTCCCCACTCCAACCCGCCCTCCCTCCCGTCACGTAACATCGGGAATAGGTGTAATCCCGATAGCGGGATTTTCAGGTTTTTTGGGGACGAAAACAACGAAAAGGGTGGAAAAAACAGCAGCGTGGAGAGAGCGGACAGGAGGCAAAAAGGAGAGGACCATCACGGCGCTTGCGCGGGCCAAGGCCGCCGCACAGGCACGCGGGCCACGCACCCACCCACCCTACCCCGCTCCCGGATATATATTTTTCAAGATCCGGGTTGGTGCCACTGCCAGGGTTTGAACCTGGGCAGCTGGCACTCATGCACGTGCATAGCCAATACCTTAACACACTAACCAAAGCCACAATCTAAATTGAGAATGCACGTGCATAGCCAATACCTTAACACACTAGCCAAAGCCACAATCTAAATTGAGATTGTGGCACGATGGTGTTGAAGAAGTGGCACGACAGCTATTTATCCCCCCCCCCCCTGTCAGCAAGGTGCGAGCAGCGAGCAGCAAGGTAGCTATTTGCCCCCCCCCCCTGGGCGGGTGTAAGTGCTGCTGCTTGCACACGTAGCTGGTAGCTGGTGGCTATCTGTAGTGCCACGTGGCAGCTTGCTGAGGATCTTGAAGACCCCCCTGGCTAGGGGGCTGCACTACAGAGAAATCTGTGGCTGATGAAGATCTCAGCCAACCACAGATTATCAGCGTTATTTTTTATTTACTGCTGAGGCATTAGGCCAGCAGCGACTTGAAGGCCAAG